GACTATACACCTTTGCTTAGAGTTCATTGAAACTGGATGAACTTTATAAGAGATTACTTCACTGAAAATTGCCATTTTGTGTTGAAGTCAATAATTGGTTTTTGACTAGTTTAATTTTATAATTTTAGTATAAGATTGATAACTTGACTAAGGACTAGATCCTATCACTTGCAGGAATATGTAAAATGTATTACAGCAATGGGACTGCAGTCCAATTATGGCTTTCAGGGTTAGATAAATGCTTGCTGGAAGCATAGAATGACAAGAACAGAGATACAATTCTGTAACTTCTTTCCTGCAGCATCTTTGTTTTGTCTAGGACTCTTCATCGGGAGTGCGCTGTTGGCATCAGATTACAGAGAGGTGGATACCTACTCTTCTTAGTTCTACAGATCATCATGTTTTTTCACTGTTACTCGGTCCCGGCAGTTTATATGCTGGATGTTGCGAATGAAATTGAAAATGTTTTGCAGAAATTCTCAGGATGGGATTGGAGGATAATTGATATATGACAGAGCTCTAACACCAGCACTTGTGCGGTATGTCATCCTTCCATCCAGTGCTTGTTATTAGAGAATGGCAGTTTTGAACTTCATCACTTTCAATTTAATTGTGCCATGCCAGATGTCTCACTTGTTGCTTAATAGCTTATTTGTGTTTTCATTTCAGAATCGATGCGGACCACGTGGAACTGAGGCCTTACCAGAAGGTATTGTTGCCAATTCTTCTGATTTGGAAATGAGGCCGTTATGGGATTCTGCAGAGGTAAAAAAACAGCCTGAAATGACAATAGTTTTTTCAATGTAGAAGATATAACATCATAGTTCTGAAGATGCATTAACTTGCTTGATCTTTGGACAGGGCTCTCTTAGTTCTTCGTCTAACTTGTTTGCCGTGGCTGTTGGAATCAAGCAAAAGGATCTTGTGAATAAAATGGTTACAAAGGTGAGGAGACTTTTCTGGCTGTTGCTTAGCCTATTTTTCTCGAGCTTTTTTCCAGGCTAACTGTGTCAATTTTCACTTTGCAGTTTCTGTCAAATGATTTTGTGGTGATGCTTTTCCACTATGATGGTGTTGTTGATGAGTGGAAGGACTTAGAATGGAGTGATCGCGTCATACATGTATCTGCATTTAACCAAACTAAATGGCAACTGGTCTTTTCCTTCCAACCCAGGTAATAATCATTCACAGTCTCCTAATGGATCTTCAATCTCCTAAGCAACAATTTCCTTACCGTCTTCTAATGAAGAAGAAGCAAATGACGCATTCTAAATGTTTTTTTCCTGTCATTTGACTTTGAAAGCATGATTTTTATTTTTATGAACTGAGATGTCTATTCAAACAACTAATTGAGAGAGGATGTAGAATAAAGTGCTATTTCATATTGGGTTGAGATGTAGGTATCACTTATCGCAATGTCACACTATATTCATTGATATGTTGGTTGATAGAACTTCCTAGCTTATGTGATAGATAAGTTTATTGCTTATCATATAAATGTATGCGTATTAGTATGGTGATACTATTCATCTTCCCATGTCCTCATGCCATTTCTGCTCTAAATCATAGGCAAGAGGATGCATATGACTAAGTGGATGAGTGTTATAAGAAGACCAAGTTCGTAGCTGCATATCAGAACATGATTCAACCCATACGAGGAGAGAAATTTTGGAAAAAGACTAATAAGGAGGCCCCTGAATCACTTCCAGCGAGGGCGAAGCCTGGTAGACGCAAACATAAAAGAATAAGAGAGGAAGGTGAGGTCGCAAGTGGTATTAGGATGTCGAGGGTAGGAATGAAGATGACATGTCGAAGTTGCAAGAAGACGGGACACAATAGTTTAACATGCCCCACTAAGAAGGCTGGGTTAGCGGCATCACAAACACCATTGTCTAGGCAAAAACTTCCGGTAAGTACTTCCATTTTGTTAGATTTACTTTTTTACTAACAACGATTTTTAAATTAATGAAATCTTATAATATTAGGTTAAGAGTAAAAGTGCTAGAGAGGACAAGAGACAAAGAATTGATACACAAGCACATGTTGAATCAACATCACAAGAAGCTGAAGTTGAAGTTCCAGTTAAAGTAGCAAGGCCATCAAGAAAGAAAAAAAATATTGAAAGGACGCAACTCTGACCTATAAGAATGATAGCCATCTGTGAGGGTTGGGTTTAGGGAAGTGATGTGGCTGTATTTTTTTGTTGATGATGGGTTCAGGGAAGTGATGTGGTTGTTTTTGTTCTTTTGTTGCTGATGGATTCAGTGAATGAGATGTTGACTATTCCATTATGCAATGATCGTGGGAAAGATAGTCTAGTTACGGCTTATTTATTATGATAACTTGGGATTTCATGTTCTTCAATCAAATTCTTGGTTGATTGTTTCAAAGAAGATTGTCTGGTTATGACTATTTTTGGAAAGATAGTCTGATTTGTTCAAGCGAAAGATCCTACTCGATCCACTCTGCCCTCTATTTTAGCAATTCCCATAAACTACATAGCACCTCCTCTGTTTCTGCCCTCTGGTTAGGGTGAGGTCTCTTGTGGTGAGCTTGTCAATATGAGTGAACTGATTGACTTTGTTGTTTTCATTTGGCTTGGTTGTTTCTGCATTACAGTAGAATGGCCAACTAGATTCTCTTTTTCATAAGTCATTATGTAATTTGTTAATATTGGATGGAATTGTCGCAACATGGAGATTAGATATACTTATTGCTCTTTAAGTAGTGTAATTGTCTGCAAGATGGATGCCATTTTATGTTATTTCACAACTCTCTTCACTTGTTAGTAAGATTGGGAGAGAATGGAAAACAAAACTCAGGATTTAGCGAGAGAACTTGTAATATTTGGAAAAAAAGTCTCAACAAGCCAACAAGTCAACAAAAACTACAGTGGACATCTTCTAATTTTTAAAGGGGCCGAGAGTTGTCGAGAAACAAAAGAAAAGAGAACAAAAGAGAGGAAAGGAAAGAGAAAGAAGAAAAAGAGAAGAGGGTTTTGTGCCGCGGGGGTCTCGCCAAGCCGATTTGACTTTGATTAGCAATGTCCAGTAAGTATTCACACCCCGCGTTTGTTCAATTGGAATATTTTTCCGAGTTAGGGCTCATATTTCGGAATTATATGTTATTTGAGCGGCGAAGTTCGATTTTTGAGTTGTTGAGCTGCGTATATATGTAGAATTGGTAGTTTAGGGTGTTGCGGGACCGTGGGATTTTACGGAACCCGATTAGGATTTACGGTTTGCCGGATATGAATTTTTGAAGTTGAGCGCTTGCAGTGAACAGTGCGCGACCAGCGGCTTTTAGGCCGATTTTTGTCGGCTTTCGGCTTGATTTTGGGACGGCCAAATTAGGGTTATTGTAGTGCTCCGAATGAGCTTTCTTTTAACTATAAGCTTGCTTGGAACGGAGTTTAGTGGAGAAAGTTATGGCGCAATCAAGTTTCGTGCTCAAGCTCCGCGTTGTGGACAGTTTGGCTAGTCTTTGTGCCCATTTATGTGTTATTCGAGCGGTGAAATCCGATTTTTGAGTCGTTGAGCTGCGTATATATATATAGAATTGGTAGTTTAGGATGTTGCGGGACTGTGAGATTTTACGGAACCGATTAGGACTTACGGTTTGCCGGATATGAATTTTTGAAGTTGAGCGCGCGTAGTGAACAGTGCGCGACCAGCGGCTTTTAGGCCAATTTTCATCGGCTTTCGGCTCGATTTTGGGACGGCCAAGTTAGGGTTCTTGTAGTGCTCTGAATGAGCTTTCTTTTAACTATAAGCTCGCTTGGAATGGAGTTTAGTGGAGAAAGTTATGGCGCAACCAAATTTTGCGCTCAAGCTCCGCGTTGCAGACAGTTTGGCTAGTCTTGTGCCCATTTCTTTTCTTCCTCCTTTAATTTATGTATATCCATGTACTTATGTGGAGATGTGAAAGGCATATTGACACAAAAAAAACTTGCAATATTGCACGAAAGAACTGCTAAAAGCTCCAAATCCGTGCAAGGAACATTGAAATTAAGATTGCAGAGATATACAAAAAGAAGAAACTAATATTCAGACCTCAAATGTGGAATTCATTTACTGAAAATGATGCTCTAACTTGTGGAAACAGACCTTATCCTGAACAGGATGCTAAATTTTTCATCCAGCTAGTCATTTTGTTAAGTCCCAATGAAGAAATTCCCATCTTCCACTCCAGAAGCAGACCTTAATTCAAAACATAATCGTTTTTCGAGTCAATTTTCTTGATAGACAAGATCAACACACGGTGCTTGCCTGTTTTAAGCAACATAACGCTTTTTATCTGAAGTATGCCGAACAATATCAGCTTTGCTTATTCTGACGCAAGATAAACCCCTACATGGTCATAGAACACCACGAATTATGATCATTTTCAACTCTGGTCACGACAAATGTAACTGCTATAGGTAATGCACCCTTCTACGACATATGGGTGTACCAGCTTCCAATGCTGCCACTCTCTTTTTCAGAAGAGAATCTTCATTCATACAAATTGATAATGCACATAGATGGATCCAACGAAGTGAGTACGGATGTATCAGAGAAAAACAGTCACACCCAAGTGCAACACTAAAAGAATGAAATCCACGGTAATAATTGGAAAGACAAGGATCTAAATAAAACTTTGAAAATCATCAGACTCCGTCTTTCTACCGAATGAAACAGTAAGTTCCAAAACAAACAGAAACAAGTAGGCAAAAATAATCTAACATAGTTACTAAAGACACAAGGAACACCAAAATTTGTGTACTCTTCAGTGTTCTTCATCATGGTTCTCACTCCTTTGCCTTGTTCGGTACCCTGAAAGCCCAATAAAATTCTATAAGATAAATCCAACTATGGATAAAGAGAAATCTGCCCATTTTGTTGCATATACTAACTCAGTGCCAGTCTTTGTGTAGCCGGTGGTCTTCTTCTTGCGGCTTCTCACTAGGTCCCCTGTTCAATTTAGACAAGGGAATCAATTTAGAATCCACCTATGATACATAAATACATTTTCAGTCAAGTATAGTAGAGCTTGTAATTTTGCTAGCTTGAATCAAAACCAATCATCTTCAATAAATGCATGGGTTCATGCATTCTGGACCCAAATACTAAATTGTGAGACGACGCCATACAAACTTGTTCCTTCAGATCATTCTTGAAACTTCACACTAACACTTCACACCAGTTGACAGGTTCAAATCACTCTTGATCTGCACATCACTGAACAAATATTATAGGTGAATGAGCCTCCGATTACTAAATGGTAAGTCAAAATACCAATGATTTCATTATAAGTAGCAGCCCAAAACAAATGGTAAGTCGAAATACCTTCGATCATGAATGAGCCTCCGATCACTGAAGCTGCATATTGGATATTTTCCGAACGCTAAAGAAGACAATGACCTTATATATCAAGAACAACTTTGCCCATTTTATGAACTGGCTAAAACTTTAGAAGAACGGTAAAGGATAAGACAAAAAAAGAAGATTACGTGTGCAATCCACAAGCTTCGAATTCCATTAACAATTGTAGCACCAGACCCAAGACAAAAAAATGCCAACAACAGATATCAGAGCCCAAACAAATCTTTCTTTGGAATACCCATAACTGCAGAAAATGAGAGAACATAGTGAATACTCTGAAGAAGAATGAATCTCTGCATATGGGTGAAGCTCTAAGCAAGTTTGATAAGATCATAACTTACATAGAACTAAATCTTTACTACTCTAACAATCCTTTTCTAATGTCTATTGAAACTATGCCCTAGTTAATCACTACATCACGTCAAATGAATATCGAACTTGGTTCCTACTGGATTTATAGCCCAACTAACAAAATTGGAAATATAAAAACATTTCTTCCAAGTAACAACCAAGGAAATACAAAGGAAAATCTTTTCATATAAAAGGCACAGATGCAAATCCCAAGTCACAGTGAACTCATACTACAATAGTTACCTTATCAGAGAAGGACGCAAAAAATATTTTATTTGGTGAAGAGACTTATTACGAGGGTTCCTCCCGACTATTTGTGTTGCGACCGTGCATTGTCTATGCTTTCAAAGGGGGCTTCGGATTCATTCATCCTAGGATGCTGACAAGAGTTTGATGACCCCAATAACAAATATATTTACATTTTACTAAACAATATGCCTAGATCAATATGTTTCAAGTAATCCCACATCAACAAAAGGCAAGTTGTACCTGGCTCAAAATGGTTCCGTGGGATTGATTATGGTACTCCAACATCTATCCAGAAAAAACCATTAACAACAAATATTACAATAGTAATAAAAAGTTCAAATAACAGTAGAATCTAAAATGATTTCATAATAAGCACCTGACTAGTGAATGGGGAAAATCCACTCCTCGGCGGCATGATGTATGGTGATTGCATCTACATTAGATAAATTACCTCATTAGCATAAAGAGGCACCATAACTTGAAGAACATACAAACAAACTAATTGATCACCAAACTATTAAATACCCGACTAGGGACTGGGCAAAATCCACTCATAATCCCGGACGGCATGATGAATGGTGGCTGCTGCATCCATATAAAAAAATGACCAATTAGTAAAACATAAATACAAATTGAGGACAAAGAGCAATATACCTGATTATGAAAATTTAGATTTACAGTAGGACCACCAATGTTGCTAGGATAAACGGCACTTCGAAACTGATTTGAATTACTCGAATAATCTAGGAACTGAGTTTCATTATGCGTCGCTTGGACAACCAACTCTACATTACAAAGTAATAGATACATTAATTGGTATCATGTAACATAAGCGAAAAATTTAACTAATTATAATAACTAGAATAATATGTCACTCACCTTGACTTTCTATTTGCGTTGGGGGAGTTCCTTTCTTAGATGTTTTCTTCTTTTTCTCACTGGAGCTTTTAAGCCTTCCGTAACTTAGTCCCTTTCGTTTCCTTCGAATGGGGTCCGCTACCGAAATATCGCACAAAGAAGCCTCATTATACTCATCATCACCAGCATCATCAGTCACAACCATACTTGATTTGTATGATGAAATTTCAGCCTTTGCTTTAACCATGTGCTTCCTCAATATTCTCATAGTATGTACATCTTCAGCTCCCAAACTCATCAGTTCAATGGATTCATGCATTAACGTGGAAAATCGATTAAATTTAGATGGACCCGGTGACATTTGATGGGATTCATCATTGACAATCCCTTCTTTGGCATCCTTAGTCCATCTTTTCAAAATATAGGAAGAAGGAATTACCGTAACCATCGACATGTTCACATTCAACACGCGTAAGGCATGGCGACACAACCACCCTTTTGATTCAAATAATTTGCATTCACAAGAAACTGATAAGTCTGCAGGGTCAAATCTAACAACATATTCACCTTGAATCCCAATCCCCATACACTTGAGAGTATATAAAGAAACCGATCCATCAGATGTAGTACTTGAAATATGTTCAGAGAGACTTTGCACAAATTCTTCATTAAACTTTAGAAAAATGGTACGGGTATATACCGAAGCAGCATGTGACAAGATCCCATTATTTTTAACCTGCGATTTGGCTGTCCCACGAGAACTATAATCATCTTGACTTTCAACTTCTCTCATATGTTTCAATTGTTCTTCATAATGGTGGACAAATTCTACAAGAGACAATGTCTTCGTCGACATATGTTGGAAGACATTATTGGTGCTCTCACTCCTTTGACTTGACCTTATACCACATGTAAAAGAGTCACGACCAAAAGCTGAACTCCATTTATGTCTAAGGTCATATAATCTCCGAAGCCAATTGTTATTTTTAGTACCCCACACCTCTTCCATTTCCCTCCATGTAGCTTCAAATTCGTCCTCTGATTTGCATCTATACATAAGCACTAAGAAATATTTATCCTTAAAACCTGGCTTATGGTAAAGATGTGGAATGTTTTGATTGGCATTTTTCCCGATGTGCCAAGTGCATAAACGATGCTGTGTATTTGGAAACACCATTCTAATGGCTTTTGCCATGGCTTGGTCTTGATCAGTGAATATGGTTTTCGGAGCCTTATTTCCCATAGACTTCAAAAACACATCAAATAACCAAATAAATGATTCTGCAGTCTCGTCCAGCAAAAATGCACAACCAAACAGAGTATTCTTCCAATGGTGATTAACCCCAACAAAAGGTGCACATATCATGTTATATTTGTTGGTACGGTATGTGGTATCAAACACTAGCACATCACCAAAACAGTCATAATCAAATTTGGACAAGCTATCTCTCCAAAATAAATTGGTCAATCTACCATCTTGATCTACTTGAACAGCATAGAAAAACATTGGGTTTTGCATTTGCATGCAATGAAAATGGTTCAAAAGACTTTGACAATCTCCGCCACTTATAACCTTGGATTTTTCCGTTTGCAAAAAATTTTGACAATCACGCAGGATGAAACCTAAGTTTTTGCTTCCTCCAGCTTCGTTTGCTAAAAATTTATATGCCGAAGTCCCCCCAATGCCTGCTTTAATCATATCAACCAAAACACCCTTGCACGTGTCAGATATCATTCTTCCACATCTAATCAAATGCTTTTGATCTTCCCGTACAAATGCATGATTATGCTCAGAAACATAGTCCATGACTTCATAGACACCCTTATCAACCTTAAATTTGATATGAGCAAGACACCCACATCTAACTTCAAATCTCTCATATTTCTTTTCTTGATCAGATGACCCAACCGAATGCCCCTCACAATTACACAAAAAAGTTCGCCGGGTTATTTCACCCTTTCTATTTTTAACCGCATTACCTTTTCTCACTCCAAATCCTTTGCTGATTGCATAAGCCACATACTTATGATATGCTTCAAGTTCATTTGAGAAAACCATCCCTACTACAAACTCAAAATCTTTGTCCATATCACGCATCACATGTGCAAGATGGGAAGTTTCATGCTGCAATCAAATGAACAAAAAATAATTCAAGAAAAATAGCATCTCATCCTTTACTTAAGAAAGCAAATTATGTTTTATGAGTAAAGAATTACCTCTAAGTCAGCCATTTGATATCTTTACAAGTGCAAAATAACTGAGGTGATGAGAGACTATGAAGTTCCCTCCTAATGAAATAAAAAACAAACATTTTTAGAACATAATCACTCACACAAACATTTTTAGAGCACAATCAAACACAATCAGCAAAATATACAAGCATGGGATTTATTTAGGGACCCAATGTAATTACTAAACTCCACATCGTCATCAATAACGAACGGAAAATCGAAATTAACGATATTGGGGTTTAATCTCTTACTTACTGCCAAACAGGAAAAATCATCTCAATGGGGTATCATGGACTTATGTCTTTCCCTCATTGGAGCCACACCTACTTTTTCTTAGATAGTTTTATGTCTAGAAAAAAAAGATTCAAGGAAAGTTCATATCTTATGCATTAATCCATTGTGTCTAAATGAAGTATCCGGACAAGCTATTAAAAAACCAATAAATTTGGCAAATTGATCACCATGTGTACCATAGAATGTCTACATTCTATACATAATTTTCAGGATCAGCTATACTTTTATAGTCACCGTTGTCATTCCAAAATCCCTAACATTAACATATCACGTTGCATATTGGCTTTAACCACACTAACCACGGCAGAAGTGCTCCACAACCAATAAAAACAATCAACTATTGATTCATTAGATTAGATATCCAATGATTTTCAATTAGACAAAGCAGTAAAGCCAGCCACCCAGACAACATAATTTACAAGTTAACATCTAACAAATTCATTCTAGCTACTATTTCTAAGCTTTGAGTTTCACTAAGATGCGACTCTACTGGTACATCGGTACATCCACTCAAGACTGTCTATTGTTTGCAAATAAGCCCAACAAATAAACATAGTAGCCCAAATAGGTTGCAGTACATTGCTTGCAAATACATCCTATATTATGGATTTCTCACAAGAGAAATGATCAGGATATTGAACTTTGGCAATAAAAGGAAGAGTTAAAAAATTGCCTGTTTCTCCCGCGACAAATGAGCACGTTCAACAGCAAGCATTTCTTCCCACCTCAAAACCTAGTGTTACAGAGATATCACACGAAGGAATTATTAAGTTTTTAGTGCAAATATTAGTGGTACTAAATGTTGGAGTTTGTGCTATTGTCCACAAACTTCCGGTGATATCTTAATGCTAATTAAAGAAACGATAAAAGTACTCACATATTGTGCATAGTGAATCGCATCATCAGACGTCAAGCAATATTTCAATGCATGCAGGAGATCCTGGATTATCATGTATGAAACATTTCAGGGACAATGAAAGTAAAATCAAAGGAAGTAGATGGGCAAACTTACATGTAGGAAATTTGTGATGTAAGCTATACACCCAAATTTACATATATAAGAAAAACGAAAGGCATAGTTCAAGTGTATCCTATCCACATTTACATTGATTCAATGGATACACTTGTCTTATCAAATTGAGTGAAAACTCAAAGATTCTCATTTTTGCTTGTTAATTGCAAAAGGCATAATCACCCTGTAAGTACCAGCTACCTCAACAAATATCTGAAAAAGTTGAAGAAATGCGTTACTAAAATGTCTAGCTAAATCATCATCTACTTAAGTTGATCTTCCAGGACCATTGCCATTTATATTTGAATCAACTAGAATTTAACTTAAAAGAGCTCCTAAATTGCCTTGAGCAAGGTAAGGCCAATAGCACATGAGTTCCATTTTTTCCTCCTATGGATTTTCCATGATGATGTTCCTCCATCTTAACTCAGATATCAGATAGTAGATAAAAGCATCCATGTACGCAATCTCTGTTTTGGCTTTCTCGATGTCCTCCTCATCAAGTAATAGAAATCCAAATGGATCATTGCCTACTTCAACTTCCGTGGATGCAAGATAAAGGAACATAAGCTGTTAGAGGCATAGTGGCTCTAACTAGATAGTGCTTTATCCGATCTAGTTTCCTTGACAGTTTACAGATGGAGGACAATAATTCTTGAAGCGCAAACAACATGGAGGGCCCTGATTTTCAGTGTTACAAAAAGTACAGATAAATTTACATGACCTTGTGCTTGTTCTTATTGATCCTCGGCCGCTCATTGATCACGAAACCAAACTGCAAGGGGGAACTCAAGATAAAAAAATATAAAAAAAGCCAGTTATTTAAACATAATTAGATCCACACTTGAATTGACTACAATTAACAAAAATGTCGGACGTGAACATAATCAGTTTGCAGAAAATAGACTAATTGATGCACTTAACTAATAGAGCTCAATAATCTCAAAGCAATGCAACTGAAAAGATCCCTTTTATATTTTTGCAGATGAAATCCAATGAAGAGACAACCTATGATGCTTGCATCTATTCTCTCCCGCACAAGAACAAAAATGGTTGTCTGTGGCATTATCCACAGATTGCACTCAAGAAAAATGCCTGATGTTCTTTCAACCAAAATCAATAGAGAGCGTAAGAATGAGCACAGGCCACATCTTTCATTTACCACACAGTCATAACAAGCACAAGCATTATCACCCATTCACCAAACGAACCTCAAGCTGACTATTTGACAAATTAAGCACGACCAATCCGACAATCTGCCCGAACGCCAAAAAAACATAATAATAGGGAACCTGTTGGTGGCGCGGTTCGTTATAGAGAGCCGAACAAAGCCGTTTCTCGGGACAAAGAGAGAGGGGCAGAGGACGAATCGCCAATGGGGGGCTTCGGAGGCGACGGCGTAGGCGGAGGCGGCCGCGTGGTCGAGATCTGAGCCACCAATCTTCACGTTAGGGCAAAAACGATGGGAATTTCAAGTCATACAAAACCCTAACCTGAGAATGGGGCTTCGGGAGGTAACGCAGAGGGCGAGTCGGAGCCCGAGATCTCCAAAGGGGCTGCGGGAGGCGACGGCAGAGGCGCGGTTCGTCACAGAGAGCAGAGCGGAGCCATTTCTCGGGATAGAGAGAGTGGCAGAGGACGAATCGCCAATGGAGGGCTTCGGAGGAGACGGCGACGGCGTAGGCGGAGGCGGCCGCGTGGTCAGGATCTGAGCCACCGATGGGCTCCGGGAGGCGACGACGGAGGAAACCGGCGGAGGCAGAGGCGCGGTCCACAAAAAGAGCCGCGCTTCGCGGAGGAAAGAGAGAGAGAGCAAATGGGTTTTCTAGAAGGGGACGGCGGAGGCAACCGGTGTAGGCGCGGCGGGTTCACGACCAAAGGATGCGAAGTCGGGGAGGAAGGAAGAGGAAGTCGGGGAGGAAGAAAGAGGAAGTCGCGAGCGGGAGGAATTTTGAGCGGGAGGAGCAAAGGAGAGAGAAACCAGGAGGTGAAAAGTGAATATTTGAGCACTAACGGAGGAGAGTTAACGGAGAATGGGAGAGAGAAGGGAAAGCGGCTGATTCTTTAGTAAATCTGATCTGTGGGCCCTTCTTGCCACGTGTCTTCCGCTCAATGGTGTTATGTATTGCTGACGTGGTGTATTTCACTCACGCAATATTTTCTCCTCTCTCTCACACGCTCTGCTCCACACAGAACATCTCTGTGTCTCTATCCATCAGTCAATTGAGGAACCTCGTGCGATTGATGTACTTATCTTTCCCAATGGAGAGAGAGAGTGAAGAAGCTATGTACGTAACAGGGATAACACCTTCGTTGAAATTGATTGACGTGATCTCGTGCGTCTAATGTAATCCAATCAAAGAAATTGGCCTCATCTTCTTGGCTTTCTTCTGCGAAACCCTCGAGTCGGAAGGAGACAAAAAGGTCAGGAGACTTAATACCTTTGGGATTGAAAGAAATCTACTTTTATGATTAAAATATTAACATTAGAGATACTTTAATTTTAAATGATTATGAAAAATGATAACCGTAATCCACACATGGATATCTATATCATAAAGGTTTTACATACTTTGTTTGGCTGCAAAATCTTAGAAAAATGATATTTAAAGGATGATTCAAAGCAAACAAAATTAGTTTCGCGATATCACGTCACAGTATAAACAGTATACACAATGATTTTCATCCTTTTTAAAGTTATTTTCTCCCCAAATCACCATCTCGTAGTAGACTCCCCAGCACTTTTCTACTACTTACTGCGATGTCTGGAGAGGAAGGTTCTATTCCATGAGTTCTATTAGTCCAGCGCCCGTGTGGGATGCGTGTGGGATTTTTTATTGTTAATGCAAAGAAGCATCATATCGTGGCAATGGAGCTTTCTCTCTCCTTGAAGCCCAAGTTTGAAGTTTCTATCTTGACTTGTGTGGACGAGACTGTGAACTATAGTTCTTTATTTGCCTTAGAAGAGGGAAAAGCCAGGAACCCGTGCATTGAACTTGAGGCTCGATTTCTTCCCCTTTCCCATTGACCCGACCATACGAACGAGGTAGGAAAATGACAGAGAACCTCTTCCTGTACAGCCCTCGCGTTGCCTCTTAGCAATGAGTTGCACATGATGGATTGACATGATTCAAATTTGTTCATCTGGGTGTTTGTGAAATTCATTTGTCATTGAAAGGACAACGATGGTCGTTCAAGAACACTGCATGCCATTGCAGAATTCCAATTGACAGAAGTTCGATGCCAAACGCATTTAGATCAGGGCGCCTCGGGCTTTTTATTCTGATAACGTTGGCATTGGATGGAAAGATCTGGCCTGTTTCTAGATGACTTGTTCGTGTGAAAACGTGAATCAAACCAATCATGTCAAGGCACTCACATGATTTCCATACAAAAGAACATGTTTGATGCCTTATCCTGCGATAATGATTGTTTTACTCGACACATCCTTCCTTTTAACAGACATAGCCCCGCTGTGAAAGGCGAGGAAGCTTCAAACGACGAAACGATTTACGGCCGGATGCTTCACCTAGGGCCATACTATCATCGGTGCTGCTAATCAAGAAAGATTTATAACATCCATGGAAGATAAATCATGGATCCAAATGGTGAACTGCCTTTCATCCAACTGGAGATTTCTTTTTATTCGATGGTAGTATTAACCTCCTATATTTACTAATACCTATGGCGGCCCTTTTTCATCACCGGTAACTAATCCGTACAGGAATAGTCCTATCACTAGTTATGCTTTCGAGGCAATCCAATTCC